TTGAAAAGACGTATCTTGTAACATTTCATATTTTATTTTAAATTAAGCAGTGAAATTAAAAGAAAAGGACATATTTACACATCAAACTATTATTCAATGCCAAATTAGTGAACTGATAAGTTGTCATATAACTTATATATATCAAATCTTGAATCTCTCAAAAAATACATACAAATATGTTTAAATTAAAGAAAAAAAAACGAATCTGCTCTCATATAGAATTTAAATAATATTTCTCTTAATCAAAATATTATTTAAATATTATAAAATTACTATAATTAGAGGACATTAAAACACCATTAATTAGTATTTACATTTAATATACTCTCGCCTCTAATATATACACACGCGCGCATGCACGAATGCACGTTTCTTGCACGAACTTACATACACGTGTATTAATGTACTTATAAATGTATTTATGCACGTGTGTGAATTCTTACATGCACGTATGTGTATAGGTAGGTACGTGCAAATTTTTCTAGAGCGCAGACCATCACTAATTGAATAGCGAATTGTGATAGAAGGAAAAGGAAAATTGCGCGACTTCCTGTTATTAGTATTACAATATCGTTATATATATATATATATATATATTGATAATAAATTCATTATATTAATAATTTAAGTAAAAAGCATCAGCTGTTCATATATAAAAGTGTGGAAATAATTCTAATAAAATTCGACTTTTGATACGAAAAATTCGTAAAGAAAATAATTTAAATACCCATTAGGTGCATACAGTACATATTTTAATAGTAAGGACAAAAATAAAAATAATATTGAAATAAATTATACAACAAATTGGCATGATTATTGAATAAATGGTATCGTCGTATTGAATATTTTTCGATCACCCTTAAATTCAATATTAGTCAATAATAAAGTTCAATAATAAAGTCAATATTTATTTGCCTAACTCTCATTACAAATAATTTCTATTCATTACTAAATCATTACAAATACTTTATTTAGAAATTACGGAAAATCATTGCTTAATGACAGTGCAATTAGATTGATTATTCAATAACGTGTGTGTGAATGCGACTACTGCATATTTGCGCGAGGAAGTATGCGTGTATGTGCGTTTAATCCAAGACATTCGATAAACTGGAGAGCGACAGATACTTTGTTGTAAGAAAAAGTTTCGAAATTCTCAAAATGTTAATTATTATCTTTCTTATTGACAACGGCGCGTTAGGCGTATTTTCTTAAAACTTTCGCCAACCAAAGCATGTAATTTTGAAGACGAAATCGTAAATTGGGTAGAAGAGGCTGGGTCATTATTAAGTAATGCTAGATGAATTATCTTTGAATGGATAAAGCAACGAGGGACGAAAAAACGAGAAAAGAGAAATGAGAAATGGGAAGTGAGAAAAGAAAGAAGGAGAGAAGGAAACATCGCGCTTCAAGTGCAAAGTGGGGGCGGGGAGGAGCTCTAAATAATCCGACTAGACGGAGACGACGTGGCGCGAGAAATCGAAGCCGTCAAAGCCGCTATACGAATATTAAAAATCCCGTTGGCAGTGCACCTTTTGCGTATGTGGATCAGTGGAGATTGCGGCGTTGAAAGGATCATTGATGTAAGGTTACGACGAAGCAAAGTAACGGAGCTGATGGAGGTGCCGTCTTTCGCCGCCGTACGAAATCTTCGAAAACAGCGGTTTGGCCGCGCACGCTACATTATTATTAGCACTACACGAGCCATGCATGCACGCGCGCACACACAACGCAACATCCCCCCCCCCCCCCCCCCCGCCCGTGCCCCACA